GTTTTCCCATTTTTTTTTCAAAATCCTAGTCCCTTGCTTTCTTCAGTTATACAAATATCAGTTCACTCCTGGGGATTTGTCTTTGGTAGACTAACTAGTTTTCCCAGAAAGCAGACTCAGATGTGACCTGGGGCAGTATGCTCCTTGTTGTACCTGTACCGCTACACTAGCTTTGGCTCCCCATGTCCAGTGTGGTCTCCAGCAGGTTCCCACCACCACCTCATGCAATGGGGCTGCAGCAGTTGTGCTCATTTTCATGCCACAAAAAATTGCACCATGCTACTAGCCTGTAGCACAGTCTTTCTGTAATTTCAAAAGACTCAAAAATAGGTGCCCCTGCCATCCTTCTCAAATCCTCTCAGCCTTGTTACTGCCAGAGAAGATTTTGAGCCAGCCTCCCATGCTGACAGCCATATGGAAAGGACGTGCTGCATATCCCAAGGGAAGGTTTAGCCACGGGCAGCGTGTGCACAGTGGCTCTGCTCCTCCTGTCCTGAGGCTTGGGCCCACTCCTGGAGCAACTGGGAATGGAGCCATCAGCAACCTCCAGAGTTAAGAACTACAAGAGCCTCATCCTGGTTTTACAACTGCAGCAAAGGTCTCTGAAACAGAAAAATCTTTAATACATGTACTTAACACCTTGTGTAGCATGGTGGTGAACTGAAATGAACAATAAATAACTAAAACTTTCTTTTATGATGTAGAGAAACAGAATGCCAGTCCATCAGAGTATTTGCAGTTGATTCTACTTTGGTATATTGGAACACAGGGAAAAAAACCCAGTAAGTGGCCTTTTATATGCTGACACAGAGTTGCTTTAGTGAAACACTGATCAGAACACCACTAAATTAAAAAGACAAAGTGTGATCTTTTATTTAACCACAACATTGCTCCCAAAGAGTGCTTTAACACATTTGTGTCAGCACCTTTAATCTTCACCTTGTGTTTCAAAGATAAGAAGATTAGCAAGTAAAATTAACTTCTGCTGGAGGCCAGACCCATATAACAAGATACAAAATACTTTTAAGATTTGATTTTCTGCAGAATTGCTGCGCTAAAAAAGAAAATTAAGAAAAATTTTGAACCTTCTGGGGTTTGGGTTCCCCCACACATACTGAACAGCAATGCAAATTAGGAGAAATGCTGCTGGAGATCACAGTTATGTTAGATATTGACTGATTCCTGAGCACTACCCTAAGCACATCTGTTGTTGTCCAATGCTTAAAATTAATCATGTTTTTCGCAGTTTTCTGAAGCAAATTCTAAATCTTTCTATTCTCAGAATATTTTTAAGGCCAAATCCAAAATGGAAGTTATGTTATTATTTATTAATCTGTCTTGCCTCTAAAAAAAATTTTGTCTCTCACATTTAGACTCATACTAAATTTCACATAGGTGAGATTACATGAGATTATATTCACAAAGATCATAAAGCTATAAAGGTTAAAAAATAGAATGTAGATCCTGAACTATGTCCAAGTATTCTTATACCATTAGAGGCAAAAATGGAGCTAATGACTGGCACACAAGCAAATTATGTGGATATAGCATATCATAGACATCAGCTGCTCTGTATTAATGATTTGTGTGCATATTCAGCTGTAAATGCAGTACAGACTTCTTTTCAGAGATGCAGAAGTACTTTGAAATCTTTTGAAGCCTCAAGTACTTCAAAATAAGTAAAATCATGAAAGTCTGTGCAGCAATCCTGCTTCCTTACCTCAAAACTGTTCCTAAAGGTGTCTCAAATATCCAAAAATACCATTTAAAAATCTGCAACAAATGAGACTGAATAAATAATAGCTATTCTAAATACTATGTTGTACACAGTCACTGTTTTTCCATGGGATATCTACCTTAAGACAGTTTCTTCTAGGCAAGTTTTCTGAACATGCTTATGAAAATTGCACACATAGTAAGTGTCAAAGTTTGTTTAAATGACCATATAACACATCTACTGTTTCCTCTTCATACACTAAATTGGCTATCTTGTCAGAGAAGGAAATTATGTTGCTTCAACATAATTTGCTCCTGATATTTTTACCAGTTTATTATCCTCTAGGTGCTGACAAATTGATTGCTAATAATGTGTTCTAGCACATTTCTTGGAATCATAGCTGGGCTGACCTGATAATTTACTGGATCCTCTTCTTAATAATAGATATAACACCTGCCCATATCCACTATCTTTTTACCTTACATGACCTCTATAAGTTTTTGAAACAATCACTAATAGTCTACACACAGATTCAGCTAGTCTTTTAAACGCACTACAGTGAAACTCATCATACCATTTCCATTAAATCCACTTCGTCAAATACTGGTTAGCCAATTGTTTTATTGCATACCCTCTGGTTAAATTGATTTTCTTAAATGTCTGGTCAACCAACCACTTTTGCTGAAGTAAAAGAAGCCTTTTCTGTAGCATATACTGTCTGCTCTCCTTTCTTGCTAACAGTAGTATCAAAAAATCAGAGGAAGTTACACTAATGACAATCTTTTTGTTACCTTTTATACTATTATGTGCTTTGACCTTTCTGACATCTCGTTAGATGACTCTGCTTCTCTTTTCTACTCACTTCTAGACATGGGGTTTTGATTCCATAGTTTGTACAATTCCTTTTCACATTTCAGGATGTTAAAGAGAGTTGATGCTGCCGTATTATTCCTTTGTTCTACTTGTTCTGCTTTAGGAGAATTTTATGTTCTACCTTAAGCACAGTCAATGCAAGATTTTCTGTACTCCTTTTTGCCTCAAATATTTTTCCCGAGATATCGGACTTACAAGGTCTCTGAGCTCATTGAAGTCTGTCCTTTCTGAAATCCATTATCCTGTTTCTACCACTTCCAGTCCTCCCTTTTAACACTGACTATTTTGTGACAGCTAATTTTTAAACTGATGCCTCTCTTAATGCAAATTAAATCTAATATAACCACTTCCCTCTTAACTTTCTCAGTCTAGTGGGTGGACCCTGGTCAGTAGCTAAGCATCCACATAGTCACTGTCTCACTCCCCTGCTGTTGTCCTGTATTGGGATGTAGTAGAAAGAAAAAGTGAAAAAGCCTCATGGGTTAAGATAATTGTGGTGTAATGCAGGAAGAAAGGAAGGGAAAAAACCCCAAGTGATGCAACAGCAATTACTTTCCATCTCCCATAAGCAGTCCAGGCAGTCTCCATGGACAGCTGTTTTGGAAGAAAAACCTTCCCAATGTCTATTTATGAGCATGATGCTATATGATAGAGAATATCCATTTGGCCAATTTGGGTCAGCTCTTTCCAATGTATTCCTTCACTACTTCTTGTAGACCTGAAGCTTTTTAATTGCAAAAGCAGAATAGGAAAAAGAGAAAACCCTAAGACTGTGCAAACGCTGTTCATCAATGGGCAAAATATTAGTGTGTTTTAAAAATAAATCTAAAACACAGTACCACATGGGATCCTATGAAGAAAGGTAACCCCATCCCAGTCAGACTCAGTACAATGTTTTCAAATAAGTAAATATTCTTAATATTGTCAAGGACTCTATAAGCCATTGATATCACATATTATTAGGCTAAAAGATACTGCCAATGCAAGCCTCATGAAGTTCAGTAAAATGAAGTGCAAGGTCCTACATCTGGCTCATGGCAATCCCAGGCACACCTACAGGTTGGGTGGGGAAGTAATTGAAACCAGCAGTGAGGAGAAAGACTTGGGAGTGACAGTGGATGAGAAGCTCACCATGAGGTGGCAGTGTGTGCTTGCAGCCCAGAAAGGCACTTGAATTCTGGGCTGCATCAAAAGGAGCGTGGCCAGTAGGTCAAAAGAGGAGATTCTTCCTCTCTACTCTGCTCTTGTGAGACCCCACCTGGAATACTCTGTGCAGTTCTGGTGTCCTCAAAATAAGAAGGACATGGAACTGTTGGAGCAAGTCCAGAGGAGGACACAAAGTTGATAAGAGGACTGGAGCACCTCCCCTGTGAAGACAGGCTGAGGGAGTTGGGGCTGTTCAGCCTGGAGAAGACTGCTTGGAGACCTCATAGCAACTTTTCTATATCTGAAGGGTCCTACAAGGGAGCCAGAGGGGGACTCTTTGTTAGGAACTACAATGATAGGACGGGGGTAAGGGGTTCAAACTGTAGAAGGGAGAGTCTAGGTTGGATGTGAGAAAAAAGTTTTTTGCTCTAAGGCTCTCTCCTTCTGAGACCCCACTCTTGAGTTTCCATCTGATGCTTTCAGACCAGATCAGGCATGAAAATGTCCTGCTCAAGTGTGTCTGATTTCACCGCTGAACTATTGATATCAGAGCCAGTCTGTCTCAATTTCAGCTAGAGTAGAAATCAGCCCTAATTCCGTTCATGGATCTGGAGCATACTTTTATGAGAAGTGGAGTTTACTGAGGAGAAATACATATGTACATGGTAGCCCATCAATCCCCCTAACTGTCTGTAATGTGTCACTATGTTTAATTGATTCTTAAAAAAACCTGGGTGTTTCTTCAAGTTTGAACAAACTCTATGACATAAGGCACATGGGAATAGGAGAAAGGCATTATCAATGCCCTCTTGAACACCCAAGGAAGAAGTCTTGTCTTGTCAGAACTTGGTTCTCACCCTTGGCAGAAAAATCAATGAGAAAACAGTTTTGCTGCTCTGAAATTATTAGTTATTTCACTGATTGCTGCAAGTAAAAAAAGTCACAGAAAATGAGGATATAGCCAGACAATAAAACATAAGGATAAAAAATTGAAATAGCACTCAATCAAAAGCAACCTATCCCCCCAAAAAATAAAATTGATAGTATTACTAGAAGTGGGAGCATTAATAAACACTTCACAGATCATTGCACCAGTCTTTTTTTGTTGGTAGGTTTAGCAAATGAGAGATTTATAATTTTATTGTGTACTTCATTATAACTTCGGTAAACATTGCACAGTGACATTGTTAGATACATTTCAGGTTACCATATTTTTTTCTGATAAAAATTGCATTGGAAGAAGTTAAAGTGAAATCTCACTTACCTGTAAAGTGCTGAAAGTGGCCTCTTGTTGCCAGGTTTTGGTCTGTATGGTTTTGGTTCTCCTGCCATGTTGATATCTGAAAACAAATATTTGATATCAGTAAGTCAAATGTCTGGAAGTTAGAGTGAGCTTGCAAAGGCACCTTCAATTCACTGAAAATGAGTAATAGGCAGTGAAAGTAGATAGCATACCTAAAGTACCTGTCTAGTTTTTACCTCTTCTGAATTTATGCTGCAAAACTTTCCTTAAAGTTCTTACTGCAATGCATGAGGATTTTAGGCAAAATGTCAGTTACTGTTAACAGACAGAAATGACATTTTTTAAACACATGAGTTTCCACTCATGAAGGTGAAGTCAATAATGTATTTCTGTTACAGAAGATTTGAATGGTAACTTAGGTGTTGAGACAAACTATGATCTCAAGTCAAATTCAGTTGTGGAGGACTGCAATGGTTCTGAAGAGTTTCCATTTAGGACCTGGATTTATTTGCAGCACAGTGATCTTTAACTGCTACTTCACTATTCACTCAGAAAGAAACTTTCAAAAGCAAATAAGAGGGTGTCTATTTCCTACCCCAAATGCATCTTTCCTTTGGGAAAGCGAAAATTGCTTTTGCAAAGGCTTTATCTTGGGCAGATACTTATTATTCTCAACCAGATCAGAAATCTTGTGAACACTTTAAAAAAATTTCCTTACATTATACCTGTGTATTTGTCCTTGAAATGTAAAAATATGGCAAGCTTATATAGAAATTAGTGTTGCTTGTTCTCAAATTTGTCTCTTCATTTGAATCATACTGAAAGACATACCAGGAGCATGTGTCTGTCATTGTGATTACTACAACAGTTACACATGGAGAAAGAAGACTGACTTGTGTGTGGAGAATACCTTCATGAGCTTAGGAAGCTGTCTGTATAAACACCAATCTATATTAAAAAGCTCCTCCACTCTTCTTGAATGTTGCAAAGTCGACATTATAGCAAATCACATAGCTAAAGTAAAAGTTCTGATTAAGAAACAAATTCCATACAATTTGAGTGATGTTGCAGCTAAATCTTTTCTCCGTTTCACTAATATAAAAAGAGTAGCAGTCAACAAAATCATCAGAGTTATTTCAGTGTAAAATTGCTGTGACAGAACAACATAGCCCATTAAATGTGGAATCATGTGGTGATTGAGACTTTCATAGAATCATAGAATCAACTGGGTTGAATGAGACCATTTGGTGCCACATCCAGTCTCACCTTGAAAACCTCCAGGGATGGTGAAACCACCACCTCCCTGGACAGCCCATTCCAATGTCTGATCACTCTCTCCATAAAAAAATATCTTCCTAATATCCAACATAAACCTCCCCTGGCAGAGCTTGAGTCTGTGCCCTCTTGTCCTCCTGCTGGTTGCCTGGGAGAAGAGACCAACCCCCACCTGACTACAACCTCCTTTCAGGGAGTTGTAGAGGGTGATAAGGTCACCCCTGAGCCTTCATTCTCCAGGCTAGAACCAAGGAAACATGTTCTTGGTAAAGTCTACGTTTAACCTGAAATTGAGTGTAGTGGAGGGAAAAGAGAAGTAGAAAGCTGAGGTGTAGAATAAGAAAGCAGCACTGCCCAGTGTAGTGATACTAAAATCTCAGACATTTTTATTTATTATTCTGGACCTCAAAAGTTTCAGTAAAAGACAGAGACTTATTGTCTAGATATTTTTATTTCACACTAAATGAAACGAAAATATCAGTCTGATTTATTTTTAACAATAGAAACATTGAAAATGCATTCCTTTAGATTTTTTTGTCAGAAAATATTTTTATCGGAATTTTCATGCTTCAAATATTTAAAAGAATTTTAGCATGCTTTCCATCTACATTTGATATTTTGATCTCAACCAGCATTTATTTTAAATTACACAAGGACCTGAAATGAAAAGTTTTTATGTAGAACTGTGTCATATAAAATATTTTGGTGAAATTTTCTTTATGTACAGCATCTGGGAATTAAATCTGGCTGTAGTTTCTTTTGTAGGAGCTGCATTACTCTTAAATCATAGTTTTTCATAAAATATTACATTTCTTGCTTTACCTATCTCTCTGAAATTGGATGAACATTGGAGACAGTTTTCATACCTTCTTGAAATGCTTTTCTGCCCTTAATTTCAAGCAAGTGCTTTATTAAATATATATTATTTTTGTCTTCTATGGTTGTTGAAAATTCAGCTATGATTCCCATATTTAGAGAAATATAAATTCTACAATATTGACTGAACAAAGTAAACACAAAGAATTTCTGAAAGCTACTGAGGAATTTTGATAGCTGTGTTGCATTTCCATTGGCTTCTGGAAATAACAGAATTGTAATGAAATTTTTATCCCGTGACCTTTACGATAATTAGACCTTTTCACACCATTTTAATATGTCAGCTTTCAGGTCACTGGTTGTATTGACTTTCACTATCTTCTACTAAAACTAGGCCAGATTTTAGGAAAAAGAAAAGGAGAATTATAGTCTGTTTTTTGGGAAATACCTGAAGTTGTGGTATCATCACAAGTTATTTCTTGTGTCTCATATGCTACTGTTTCAGAGCTACAGCCCAGGTTACTATTGCTAGGCACATGAACATTAAAGGATGTTAAAATTTTTTAAATATTCTTCCAAGACAGATCCATATTATCTTGATGATTATTTTCGCAGACATACGTTTGCAACTCTACAACCCCCACTTCTAATGGTGAATAGTGTAGAAGATTAAAGGCTGTTAGTTATATGTTCTCTTTATTTCAGTCATATACTGCCAGAAAGGTAACACTATAAGAAGATACAGTGGCAAAACTGTTCAGAATCAGTTAAGATTCCTCACCCTTAAATAAATCTCTAAATCTGCCAGCAGAAAACAGTGAACTATATTATACAGCTAGTAATAGCCAAAAATTCTCTTTAGTACAGAAAATAGTTCACAGAAAAGCTGTGCACATGGGGCTTTTCTGTTAATATGAAAGTGATTGAATAGCTCTGTAACTCCCTAAGCACTTTGTAGCAAGTTAAGAACGGATGTAAGATATGCTTTGAAAAGTTAGAACAGAATTTCACCCCATTATTTTTCAGCACTATCTACTCCAGCCTCAATTTTCTAACTAAGATTAGAAGTGAACTTGTTGACATTTCACAAGACAGATTATTTCTATCCCAACTGGAAATCTTGTAAGATGACTCGTTCTCTTCCTTCATACATCATTAGTTTCACAGCAGACATTTACATCTACTAGATCATAAACTGTGTGTCAAATAAATTTGTTGGCTGCAGTACAGAGATTTACCTGTGCTAATGATTCCCCCCCATGGAATGCTGAGATGTATCACTCTTTATGATGTTAAATTAGCTACAGCACTTGTACATGAATATGTACCAGACAACTTGACAAGGGATACAGACATTCACAGTTCTTCTGGAGAGGTATGGATTTGATGGATTGAGCACCTGGTAAATAAGGAATTGGCTGATAGTCACACTAACTCTAAGTACCTCTAAAGCTCAACAACTGATTTTCTAAGACATGTTTCATTAGATGTTCCTCCACACATGACGTGAATGGTTGTGGAAACTGAGACATTCCTTGGAAAATTCTACAGTTGTTTGACTTAAAATTTTGGATAAAGAGTGATGTCATTGTGTGCTTCCAGACCAGTTATGCTTTAGAGCAACATTTAATGGAACAAATGGTAACCAAAATACACATATTGAGAAAGAATTTACGCAAGTAATGTATAATCTATATACAGAGAGAGATATGCATATAGAGAGATCAGGATGCATTTTCTTCTCTTTTTTTTAATGACACAAAGTATATGGGATAGAACAAAAAGAACAAGAGGTAGATGCAATTTAGAGAAAGCCTGTAGTCATATGATTTATGGCATAACCGAACACCAGCAAAGCTAAAGCTAATCTATCTTTCCTTTATGTTCTTCCATCTACTAGTCTTATAAATCTCCCTGGTGCTTGCTAAAGGAATTTTAATGAAGTCATAAGATACTTTTTACATCATAGAATTCCTTTTTTCTTTATATGTTGCATTGATTACATGTCATCTCCTTCCCTTTCCCCATCTCTACCATGGGAAAAAAACAGAGAGGAAAGGACAGCTCTCAGTTCTGTTCCATTCTGTGCCCAAATTGCACAGTTGTAAAGGCAAAGCTTCCCAGAAAATTGAATACAAACTCAATTAATTTTAAAGGCTAGTAAAATATTATATGAAGGTCTGGGTCATACATTTTCCTTTTCCATAATGGTATTAAAAATAATTTGCTTGTGGGGCTCTCAGCTGCATTTGGATTTTCTCTTAGTATTGAAGTAATTGGAAGCCTTTTTTTGTACGAAGATGACAGCTATTGTTAATGCTCCATGCAGAAAGAGCTGCTTGTTGAATAGGATATGCAATTGCTTTGTTCAACCATTTCTTCTTTCATTAAATACTGCTAAAATGAAATGAGGCTATAAGATTATATAAGCGATCATTCTTAACACTATTCAGTAACAGAAGTGTCAGGCATTGTCTTGCAGGAAAGTTTTTCTGTTCCCCAGGGAACTGGGTTGGTGTGAGGACAGGCGACAGCTAAAAGGGGAAATCCTGTCCTGTCTCTACGTCCATCACAAACCATTCCTTCAAGGTCCTGGAGAGAGCAGCCTCTCTTTTAGCTGCAGAATGGATCCCAATGTACTTTATAGTTGAGATGAAGCATTAGTCTGCCTTGTATTTTGTCTGCTTGCTGCCATCCCTGCACCTCCCGCCCCAGGTAACAATGCAGTCAGTGGCAGAACTTCCTGGTCCCATTGGGTGTGCAACCAGCAGTGGTCCATGTCCATGCCCAGAGACAGGCATTGCTTCTGCCTAGGAAATGGGAGAACACTTATTTGTAACCTCTGGGGGACTGCCCATGGACTCCACTGTGATTGCATAATCTGTGGCCAAGACCTTACAAACTGCTTCTCTGCTGGTGCTTGAATCCCTGCAGATCAACTGCTGTGATGTGACAGGAGTCATGCTGGCAGAAGACTGGGACTCTGGGCTGCAGGGGAAA